GTCAGCTCAGGCACAGGCAGACATGGTCAGCACATGGGCAAAGAATGGGTCCAGGTAACAAGCAGAAATGTGTTCAATAAGCAGGCAAATCAGAAACACCGATTCTGGCTACAACGGTCTGGCGACACTGTGGCTGGTGTGGTGGTAATCGGAGAACTGTGACTGGCTGCCCTATTAAGGCTCGTTCCCAAGTGAGGTGTGTGTGTGTGTGTCAGTAAAACCTTGCAATTGAGCTTTGGGTTTTACCACCCCTCAACCGCTATCCCCTTTAGCTGCAGAGGCAGTGACTTACGGCGTACACCTGCCGTGGCTGCAATTCCTTTGTGGGAGGAATTATACCTCTTGTACACCTGCAGATCGTTATCCATTCAAGTGAATGGCATTTCCTCTGCAGGGTTGCTTGTGCAAGAGGTTGAAGCAGGTGGTGAGGAAGCAATGTAATGCCTCCTCTCTGAGGAGTGATCCAAACACGGATGGCTCTTGAGAAAGCATTGCAAATATGAACAAGTAATTGTAGTGCCGCAATGACTGGTGTGGTGGTGATCAGGAACACTAGGAGTGCTGTGGTAGTGATCAGGGACACTAGGACTGGTGTAGTGGTGATCAGGGCCACTGGGGCTGGTGTGGTGGTGATTAGGGACAATATGACTAGTGTGGTAGTGATCAGGGGCACTGGGACTGGTGCGATGGTGATCAAGGTCACTGGGACTGGTGTGGCTGTGATCAGGGGCACTGGGACTGGTGTGGCTGTGATCAGGGGCACTGGGACTGGTGTGGCTGTGATCAGGGGCACTGGGACTGGTGTGGCTGTGATCAGGGGCACTGGGACTGGTGTGGGCTGTGATCAGGGGCACTGGGACTGGTGTGGCGGTGATCAGGGGCACTGGGACTGGTGTGGGGGGTGATCAGGAACACTAGGAGTGCTGTGGTAGTGATCAGGGACACTAGGACTGGTGTAGTGGTGATCAGGGCCACTGAGGCTGGTGTGGTGGTGATTAGGGACAATATGACTAGTGTGGTAGTGATCAGGGGCACTGGGACTGGTGTGGCTGTGATCAGGGGCACTGGGACTGGTGTGGCGGTGATCAGGGGCACTGGGACTGGTGTGGCGTTGATCAGGGACACTGGGACTGGTGTTGTGGTGATTAGGGGCAATGACTAGTGTGGCAGTGATCAGAAGCACTGGAACTGGTGCAGCGGTGATCAAGGTCACTGGGACTGGTGCGGCTGTGATCAGGGGCACTGGGACTGGTGTGGCGGTGATCAAGGTCACTGGAACTTGTGTGGCGGTGATCAAGGGCACTGAGACTAGTGTGGCGTTGATCAAGGTCACTGGAACTTGTGTGGCGGTGATCAAGGGCACTGAGACTAGTGTGGTGGTGATCCTGGATACTGGAACTGGTGTGGCGGTGATCAGGGGCACTAGGACTGGTGTGGCGGTGATCAGGGGCACTAGGACTGGTGTGGCGGTGATCAGGGGCACTAGGACTGGTGGTGCGGTGATCAGGGACACTGGGACTGGTGTGGCGGTGATCAGGGGCACTAGGACTGGTATGGCGGTGATCAGGGGCACTGGGACTGGTGTGCCGGTGATCAGGGGCACTGGGACTGGTGTGGCGGTGATCAGGGGCACTGGGACTGGTGTGGCGGTGATCAGGGGCACTGGGACTGGTGTGGCGGTGATCAAGGGCACTGGGACTGGTGTGGCTGTGATCAGGGGCACTGGGACTGGTGTGTGGCGGTGATCAGGGGCACTGGGACTGGTGTGGCGGTGATCAAGGGCACTGGGACTGGTGTGGCGGTGATCAGGGGCACTGAGACTGGTGTGGCAGTGATCAAGGGCACTGGGACTGGTGTGGCGGTGATCAGGGGCACTGGGACTGGTGTGGCGGTGATCAGGGGCACTGGGACTGGTGTGGCAGTGATCAAGGGCACTGGGACTGGTGTGGCGGTGATCAGGGGCACTGGGACTGGTGTGGCGGTGATCAGGGGCACTGAGACTGGTGTGGCGGTGATCAGGGGCACTGGGACTGGTGTGGCGGTGATCATGGACACCACCCAGCATCCGCCCAGACATATATGTATGTATATTGGCCAGGCTGGAAGTGTCTAAAGGTTACTGTAATTCTTCCAAGGTGGATCCCCAGTGGAGGTTCATAGATCTTGGCTGCAGATTGCGGGGAATCCCTCCATTTTACCAATGTCTGTACCCCTCACTCGGGACAAACTTCTTGTTTCAGGTACGCAGCTACCTTCATCTCACCCTTTTATTATAGTTGGCGGAGACTTTAACATGATGACGTCAACCCACAGCGCTAGGCAAGCCTGATCAGGTGGACTCCCTTCTACCCAACTTATTAAAAAAATTTGTATCCTTTCATTAGTACATAAGATGTGGGACTCCGCAAGTAATTTGTACTGGAATCACACGGCATACCTGTGCGAATTACATGCAAATGTTTGTGCGGTTCGATTTTAGCCATACTCTTTGTATGGTTCAAATCGCATCCGCACCAAGAAAGGTACAGGACCCTTTTATAAATCCGCACCTGAATCTCATGGCAATCGCATCGCGTTTTGCGATCTGTTTTGGGGTGTCATTAATTTATCATTGAAACCGGCACCAGTTTGCTTGAATGCGATGTGATTGCAATGCGGTACGGGACATGCACAGGATTTGCAGCGTTTCCCGCACCACATTGGTGTACACTGGGTCTGAAGGTAAACTAATCTGCTCTGTCGCTGAATTTTTTCAGGATCTCCACCCCCTGCCTTCTGGAACTCAAAAATGCTGCCTAAAATCTGTAGTTTGAATGGCTGTAGAGGACATAGGACTGCAGAAAAAACAGGTATGACGTATGTTGGAGGATTTCTTTCATCTCTGTGTATCACCTGAGGTCAGTCCCATAACAGGGTATATGTACGGGTTCAGCTCCTTTCTCCATCTAACGCTCCTTTCCTGAAATACTCTGCACTGCCAGAGGACTCTGCTGATCTTATATTAAAAAGAATCGAGCAACAAAAAAATTTGTACAAATGTAAAGAAAAACAAAAACACAGAACAAGCATGCGTAAACAGAAAACAAAGGATTAAGAATCCATATTCAAAAACATACAATATTTAGAAAGGCCATTACCAAAGTTTTCAAACCATGGAAAACTATTCACATAAAGCATCAGAGAGGGCCTACACCTAGGTAGGCATCAATTATTTTAAGAATTAAGGATCAAGAAAAAAAAACTAGGGTGATAAAGATAGACAGTCACATCCCCAGAAAGAGACTCCTGGCAGTCAGGGAGGCTAAAAAAAACCTTCAACTAAGCCCCCGACCCCACTTGTCTCTCTCAAGCACCCGAATCTTCTCCACCTCATGCAAAATGTCAGACTCCACCACATGAACAGGAGTGGTGACCTGACACCGGTCTCCCCTCATTCACTATATCTTCCCTCCCAGGACCCTGCATTCACTATATCTGCTTTCCCTGGACCCTGCATTCACTATATCCGCTCTCCCCTCATTCACTATATCCGGTCTCCCCGCATTCACTATATCTGGTCTCTCCGAACCCCGCATTCACTATATCCGCTCTCCCCAGACCCCGCATTCACTATATCCGCTCTCCCCGGACCCCGCATTCAGTATATCCGCTCTCCCCCGGACCACGCATTCACTATATCCGCTCTCCCCGGACCCCGCATTCACTATATCCGCTCTCCCCAGACCCCGCATTCACTATATCCGCTCTCCCCAGACCCCGCATTCACTATATCCGCTCTCCCCGGACCCCGCATTCAGTATATCCGCTCTCCCCGGACCACGCATTCACTATATCCGCTCTCCCCGGACCACGCATTCACTATATCCGCTCTCCCCAGACCCCGCATTCACTATATCCGCTCTCCCCAGACCCCGCATTCACTATATCCGCTCTCTCCCCGGACCCCGCATTCACTATATCCGCTCTCCCCGGACCCCGCATTCACTATATTCGCTCTCCCCGGACCCCGCATTCACTATATTCGGTCTCCCCGGACCCCGCATTCACTATATTCGCTCTCCCTGGACCCTGCATTCACTATATCCGCTCTCCCCAGACCCCGTATTCATTATATCCGCTCTCCACAGACCCTGCATTCACTATATCCGCTCTCCCCGGACCCCTCATTCACTATATCCGCTCTCCCCGGACCCCGCATTCACTATATCCAGTCTCCCCGGACCCCGCATTCACTATATCCGCTCTCCCCGGACCCCGCATTCACTATATCCGCTCTCCCCAGACCCCGCATTCACTATATCCGCTCTCCCCCAGACCCCGCATTCACTATATCCGCTCTCCCCGGACCCCCCGCATTCAGTATAGCTCTCCCCGGACCACGCATTCACTATATCCGCTCTCCCCGGACCACGCATTCACTATATCCGCTCTCCCCAGACCCCGCATTCACTATATCCGCTCTCCCCAGACCCCGCATTCACTATATCCGCTCTCTCCCCGGACCACGCATTCACTATATCCGCTCTCCCCGGACCCCGCATTCACTATATTCGCTCTCCCCGGACCCCGCATTAACTATATTCGGTCTCCCCCGGACCCCGCATTCACTATATTCGCTCTCCCTGGACCCTGCATTCACTATATCCGCTCTCCCCAGACCCCGTATTCATTATATCCGCTCTCCACAGACCCTGCATTCACTATATCCGCTCTCCCCGGACCCCTCATTCACTATATCCGCTCTCCCCGGACCCCGCATTCACTATATCCAGTCTCCCCGGACCCCGCATTCACTATATTCGCTCTCCCTGCACCCTGCATTCCCTATATCCGCTCTCCCCCGGACCCCGCATTCACTATATCCGCTCTCCCCCCCCGGACCCCGCATTCACTATATCCGCTCTCCCCCGGACCCCGCATTCACTATATCCGCTCTCCCCAGACCCTGCATTCACTATATCAGCTCTCCCCGGACCCTGCATTCCCTATATTCGCTCTCCCCGGACCCCGCATTCACTATATCCGGTCTCCCCGGACCCCGCATTCACTATATCCGGTCTCCCCAGACCCCGCATTCACTATATCCGCTCTCCCCGGACCCCGCATTCACTATATCCGCTCTCCCCGGACCCCGCATTCACTATATCCGCTCTCCCCGGACCCTGCATTCACTGTATCCGGTCTTCTTGGACCCAGCATTCATTATATCAGCTCTCCCCAGACACTGCATTCACTATATCTGGTCTCCCCGTATTCACTATATCCACTCTCCCCAGACCCCGCATTCACTATATCCTCTCCCCGGACCCTGCATTCCCTATATCCGGTCTCCCCGGACCCCCGCATTCACTATATCCGCTCTCCCCAGACCCCGCATTCACTATATCCGCTCTCCCCAGACCCCACATTCACTATATCCTCTCTCTCCGGACCCCGCATTCACTATATCCGCTCTCCCCCCGGACCCTGCATTCACTATATCTGGTCTCCCCGAACCCTGAATTCACTACATCCACTCTCCCCAGACCCCTCATTCACTATATCCGGTCTCCCCAGACCCTGCATTCACTATATCTGGTCTCCCCGGACCCCGCATTCACTATATCCGCTCTCCCCGGACCCCGCATTCACTATATCTGGTCATTCCAGACCCCGCATTCACTATATCCGGTCTCCCCAGACCCTGCATTCACTATATCCGCTCTCCCCGGACCCCGCATTCACTATATCCGCTCTCCCCGGACCCTGCATTCACTATATCCGCTCTCCCCGGACCCCGCATTCACTATATTCGCTCTCCCCGGACCCCGCATTCACTATATCCGCTCTCCCCGGACCCCGCATTCACTATATCCGCTCTCCCCGGACCCCGCATTCACTATATCCGCTCTCCCCGGACCCCGCATTCACTAAATCCGCCCCCCCCCTGGACCCCGCATTCACTATATCCGGTCTCCCCCCCGGACCCCGCATTCACTATATCCGGTCTCCCCGGACCCCGCATTCACTATATCCGCTCTCCCCGGACCCGTATTCACTATATCCGCTCTCCCCGGACCCCGCATTCACTATATCCGCTCTCCCCGGACCCTGCATTCACTATATCTGCTCTCCCCGGACCCCGCATTCACTATATCCGCTCTCCCCGGACCCTGCATTCACTATATCCGCTCTCCCCGCACCCCGCATTCACTATATCCGCTCTCCCCGGACCCTGCATTCACTATATTAAGTCTAACCAGACCCGGAATTTACTATATCCGCTCTCCCTGGACCCCGCATTCACTATATCCAGTTTCCCACGGTACATAGAACATGGAAATGCAATTATTTTAGTAAATATAAACTGCTAAATACCTTTTCTCATCAGCAGTTACAGCAGTCTTGTGACTTCAACAGAGCACTGGTTAAAGCTTGTAGGAGGAGTTTTCTTTCTGCTCTAGGAGGATGCAGAACCCCTTACCCTTTGTCTGGACAGTGCTGATTGGCCCTCTGCTGATCATATGCACTCTCCCAAGAAAAAAACCCTCTCTAGCAATACACACTAAACTGAGCATGTGCATGTGACTACGGGTTTAGTCTGTCTTATCAGGTGGACATTTGAACAGGAGGAGGGGCAGAGAAAACACGACCAAACAGCCTTTTTACACAATGCAGAGGATTAACCCCTTAGGTTCCACAGTGAGTGTGACGGAGGGTAGGCAGGACAGAACACAGAGAAGATGATAAACAATCAAAGCTTTATTGACACAGGGGAGACACTCAATCAGGGTAGGAAAGTAGTGTCCGGGTACTCAAACAAGGGAAATATAGGGCGGAGCCCTAAGCAATTGTAATCCGGCCCACGATAGGGCGACTTGGGTAGCGGTAGCCGGAACCAGTATCCACCCGGAAGGGCAAGTCCGGCAAGGGTAATAGCGGGCATACAATGTATGAGTGTTCAGGAGAGGGGGGGGAGCCCAGAATAATTGTAATCCGGCCCCAGGGGGGCAAAGTTAGAGTCTCTGGTAGCTTGTAATCCAAACAGGGAAGAGGAAGGAGGGAGAGTTCATGGAAAGTCCATAGAGGGGGAAAACAAGGGTGCAGACACTCACGGTTCCAGCAGGGATGTCCCGGATCAGAGTGGACGGCAGCAGGGGCGACCCTGCTCAGCACACAGCAGCAGCGGGTAACCTGGGCCCCAGAGTATCAGGCAGAGTATCATGGGGCCCACAGCAGGTAGTTCTAGCACACAGCAACAGCAGGTATTCTGGGCCCCAGAGTATTAGGCAGAGTATCGTGGGGCCCGCAGCAGGTAGTCCTAGCACACAGCACAGTGGGTAATCTGGGCCCAAAAGTATTAGGGAAGTATCGTGGGGCCCACAGCAGATAGTTCTAGCACACAGCACAGCGGTTAATCCGGGCCCCAGAGTATTAGGTAGAGTATCGTGGGGCCCAAGCAGATAGTTCTAGCACACAGCACAGTGGGTAATCTGGGCCCCAGAGTGTTAGGCAGAGTTCCCTGGGGCCCACAGCAGTTAGTCCTGACCCAGGGTATTAACAGAGGGGCAGTGGATACTCCCAGCCCTGGAGTATTCGCAGAGTGTCAGCGGTACTCCCAGCCCTGAAGTATTTGCAGAGTGGCGTGGGTACTCCTAGCCCTGAGAGTATTAGCAGAGTAGCAGCAGGTACTCCCAGTCCTGGGAGTCTTAGTTCTGACCTGTTCAGGGGTGGGGGGAGACGAGTCTGTTGCAGAGTGCCCAGCGGTTATATCGGTGGAGGTTCAGTCCCAACCCAGGACGCTTACAGGTTGCAACGGCCCGGCCCAGACCCGCGTTGCCGGGGGGCAATGAGGCACTCCCCCTTGACTCGGGCTGCGCTCTTGTGAGCACGGCCTTTGTCACTGGTGGGTGCAGAGCGCGGGAAGCCCTGTGCCCACACTGCGCCAGCCGGGGGCACTCGGAAACATCCTGGCGGCTTGCCAGCGGGGTCTCTCTGCAGGGGATCACAGCTCCTCCAGCTAGATTGCCGGGGAAGCTGTGATCTTTGCCGCAGGGGTCCCCTCACCCTGCACAGCCTGCTTCAAAGGCTGTGTGAAGGATGACAGGATGCGGCAAGGGGGGGGGAGGGGGAGCGTTCAGGGACGGCCGGGCACACCGTGACAGTGAGAATAACAAGCATGCTTTACTGCATCTACAGACTGATTTTGCTGTTGTGGGTTTAGTAACACTTTAAGACTCGGCACATAAGGACTTTCTGTCAGGGCTGGGCTCCTGCTACTTAATGAGCAGCTCATTCTTTCAGTGCTCAGAAGCTGCTCAGCTGTTGGTTAATTACCAACCACTTGTGTTCTCCGCAGTGACTCAACTGGATACCATTACCTGTCTCATTAGTCCAGCCTACAGCCAGCCCTTTTTGCTATTTTAGCAGCTTAACTCATTTCCCCCTTGCCCTTGCATGGTCTAGGATCTCCAGTGTATCCCTGCCTGTGTTCCTGAGTACAACTCAGTCTGGCTGACTTCTCTTACGATTCCTATTCCTGATTTTTGCTCCTGGCTATGCTGACTTCTGGTATCCTGACCCTAGCTTGTCTGATTACCCGCTCTGGCATCCAAACCCTGGCTTCTGTATTTGACTAAGTTCCTACACTCTGTTATTTCTGCTATTTCATGAAAGGTGTGATTTTAACTGCACTTTCTGTCTCCGCCTGGTGTATGGTTCCTAACACTTTCCTTGGAGCGGATCTGAGATCTTCAGTTTCAATTGCTACTGCAGCAGCAACTTCAGGCACAGAGTGACATAGGCTGGAAGTTGACCACGGTGACCCCTGAGATTCTTCACTTGGCCACCTTCTTTCCAAAGTCGTAGAAAAGACCTAAACTAAGATCTAATCATGCCTGCCCATCTAGGAGCTTTTCCACTGCAAGCATATGTTAAACTTGAGAAACGCTAGTGAAAAGAAAAGAACTGAGTTGACCATACCTAAGCCTCCCTCCCTCCTGGATAGATAGGTGACATTCCTCTTAATGAGGTTCAGTCCGTTCCCCCAAAGCATCTGGAAGAACACACTGTAGACCCTAGCATGGAGAGACACTGGCAAGATGCAGACAAATCTGACATACTGTACAAGAAGACTGGAATCAATTAAGTCTTAATCAGATCAACTCTTTCCCTCAGAGATAGTTTCCATCTCTTATAGCTAACCACCTTAGTATTGGCAACTTCCTGCCTGCCTTCCCAATTTTGATGGGGCAATCAGCTTTGGATTCAGCCAAAGAAGAGAGGGTTTGTAGGCTTTACCTTATCAGGCACATTATCAGGTATGTCCTCACCCACAAATGCTAGCTGGAGACTCCATTGACTGGATCACCCTTACCATGCCTTCTGAGTCCCGTGAAGGCTTAGGGCTGCTTACCTCACCCTGAGGGGGCACGGGGGTTAAAACATGGGATATCCTCCTCCACCTCCATCTTTGTCATCCTTCCAAACCACCTGTCGTTACAAAATTTCTCCTTAAATGGCCCATCTCGCATTTCAAGCATGGACACACTAGTTTCCTGGTGTTTCACCAAGATTTTAACCAATTGGATTTCCAAATCCATGGGTCCACGAACCCGGCTATACATGCTCTCACGCTGCTTTCGCAATCTCTTTAACTCCGCTCTATGTTTGTAGAGCTTGTCCCGCTCCTTATTCAGGGTCTTAATCTCAGCCACCACTCTCTCCCGAATGGACTTTGTGCCTTCATCTTCACCAGGGGCAGATAGATCACTAGCTCTGGCTTGCTCAAGGGCAGGCATGTCAGCCCCGGGGATGGTTGCGAGCTCCCAGCAAGGGAAACCCCGCTGGCCTCCATGGCTTGCCCAGGAAAGAGCCAGGACAGCTAGAATAGATTTTACCAAACTCCCCTCTAACACACAGCAGTTGGAGCACCTTCATAATCTCAGCACCAGACAGCAGAAGAAACTTCTCCCTCCTGAGACACCTGTGCTGCCTACTGGAGGACTCCGCTCCTTCCTCTATAACTCTCCTCTCCTGAAATACTCTCCACTGCTGGGGGACTCTGCTCCTTCCTCTATAACTCTCCTCTCCTGAAATACTCTGCGCTGCTGGAGGACTCCGCTCCTTCCTCTATAACTCTCCTCTCCTGAAATACTCTCCACTGCTGGGGGACTCCGCTCCTTCCTCTATAACTCTCCTCTCCTGAAATACTCTGCACTGCTGGAGGACTCCTCTCCTTCCTCTATAACTCTCCTCTCCCTGAAATACTCTGCACTGCTGGAGGACTCCTCTCCTTCCTCTATAACTCTCCTCTCCTGAAATACTCTGCGCTGCTGGAGGACTCCGCTCCTTCCTCTATAACTCTCCTCTCCTGAAATACTCTGCACTGCTGGAGGACTCCTCTCCTTCCTCTATAACTCTCCTCTCCTGAAATACTCTGCGCTGCTGGAGGACTCCGCTCCTTCCTCTATAACTCTCCTCTCCTCTCATCCTCTGCACTGCTGGAGGACTCAGCTCCTTCCTCTATAACTCTCCTCTCCTGAAATACTCTGCACTGCTGGGGGACTCTGCTCCTTCCTCTATAACTCTCCTCTCCTGAAATACTCTGCGCTGCTGGAGGACTCCTCTCCTTCCTCTATAACTCCTCTCCTGAAATACTCTGCACTGCTGAAGGACTCCGCTCCTTCCTCTATAACTCTC